CTGGAAGACAGACAGCTCAGAGAGCTAGTTTTCTTGCAGGTTCAGAAAAGCAACGTTAGGCACTGGAGGCCGTTGCCCGCAGGCCCGGTCCGTCCCTCAGGGCCCTGCTGTTTCGCTGTGGCGAGGGCGCCGTTTGTGAGCCTTCGCGGCTGGAAGACAGACAGCTCAGAGAGCTAGTTTTCTTGTCGGTTCAGAAAGCAACGTTAGGAACTGGGGGCCGTGGCCCGCAGGCCCGGTCCGTCCTTCAGGGCCCTGCTGGTTCGGTGTGGCGAAGGCGCCGTTTGTGAGCCGTCGCGGCTGGAAGACAGACAGCTCAGAGAGCTAGTTTTCTTGTCGGTTCAGAAAGCAACGTTAGGAACTGGGGGCCGTGGCCCGCAGGCCCGGTCCGTTCCTCAGGGCCCTGCGTTTTGGTGTGGCGAAGGCGCCGTTTGTGAGCCTTCGCGGCTGGAAGACAGACAGCTCAGAGAGCTAGTTTTCTTGTCGGTTCAGAAAGCAACGTTAGGAACTGGGGCCGTGGCCCGCAGGCCCGGTCCGTCCTTCAGGACCCTGCTGTTTCGGTGTGGCGAAGGCGCCGTTTGTGAGCCTTCGCGGCTGGAAGACAGACAGCTCAGAGAGCTAGTTTTCTTGTCGGTTCAGAAAGCAACGTTAGGCACTGGGGGCCGTGGCCCGCAGGCCCGGTCCGTCCTTCAGGGCCCGGCTGTTTCGGTGTGGCGAAGGCGCCGTTTGTGAGCCTTCGCGGCTGGAAGACAGACAGCTCAGAGAGCTAGTTTTCTTGTCGGTTCAGAAAGCAACGTTAGGCACTGGGGGCCGTGGCCCGCAGGCCCGGTCCGTCCTTCAGGGCCCTGCTGTTTCGGTGTGGCGAAGGCGCCGTTTGTGAGCCTTCGCGGCTGGAAGACAGACAGCTCAGAGAGCTAGTTTTCTTGTCGGTTCAGAAAGCAACGTTAGGAACTGGGGGCCGTGGCCCGCAGGCCCGGTCCGTCCTTCAGGGCCCTGCTGTTTCGGTGTGGCGAAGGCGCCGTTTGTGAGCCGTCGCAGCTGGAAGACAGACAGCTCAGAGAGCCAGTTTTCTTGTCGGTTCAGAAAGCAACGTTAGGCACTGGGGGCCGTGGCCCGCAGGCCCGGTCCGTCCTTCAGGGCCCTGCTGGTTCGGTGTGGCGAAGGCGCCATTTGTGAGCCTTCGCGGCTGGAAGACAGGCAGCTCAGAGAGCCAGTTTTCTTGTCGGTTCAGAAAGCAACGTTACTGAGACCACAAAATGCAAATATTTGCACTTTAGGCACTTAATGAATTTATAAGTATACTACAAGTTACTATTATCCTTCTAATATCTTGTTCAAATTGTTTTTTCAAAAATATTTTGTTATAAGTTCCACTAAATTTTTAGGTGAACTTATAACATAATAAGGAAAATATAAGCAAATATAGTAGAATATTAGTCAAAAATAAGCCAAAATAAGCGAAAAGAAGTGATAAGAAGTGAAATTTGATTTTTATGTGTGTTTGATAGATTCGCAGGAATGTTGATTTTCGACGAAACAATATTGTCTCAGGGCACTACTTTTCTGACGAAACCTTCCTGAACAGGAATATGCTGCTAAAGAACAATTCTCTGAAGGCGCCTATTTGGAAAAAAAAATGGTAGGAAAAAAAAATGTAGGGACAATTTCTCTGCAGGATACTTCCTGAAAAGGAAAAATTGTGTGGGGAATAGTTCTCTGCAGGATACTTCCTGGAAAGGAAAAAAATTGTAGGGAATAGTTCTCTGCAGGATACTTCCTGGAAAGGAAAAAAAAATGTAGGGAATAGTTCTCTGCAGGATACTTCCTGGAAAGGAAAAAAATTGTAGGGAATAGTTCTCTGCAGGATACTTCCTGGAAAGGAAAAAAATGTAGGGAATAGTTCTCTGCAGGATACTTCCTGGAAAGGAAAACATTTGTAGGGAATAGTTCTCTGCAGGATACTTCCTGGAAAGGAAAAAATTTGTAGGGAATAGTTCTCTGCAGGATACTTCCTGGAAAGGAAAACATTTGTAGGGAATAGTTCTCTGCAGGATACTTCCTGGAAAGGAAAAAAATTGTAGGGAATAGTTCTCTGCAGGATACTTCCTGGAAAGGAAAAAAAATGTAGGGAATAGTTCTCTGCAGGATACTTCCTGGAAAGGAAAAAAATTGTAGGGAATAGTTCTCTGCAGGATACTTCCTGGAAAGGAAAAAACTTGTAGGGAATAGTTCTCTGCAGGATACTTCCTGGAAAGGAAAATTTAGAAAATTCAGAAAATTCAGAAAATTCAGAAAAAATCAGAAAATTCAGAAAACTCAGAAATTTCAGACATTTCCGAAAATTCAGAAAATTCAGAAAATTCAGAAATTTCAGAAAATTCAGAAATTCAGAAAATTCAAAAATTTCAGAAAATTCAGAAAACTCAGAAAATTCACAAAATTCAGAAACCCAGAAAATTCAGAAAATTCAGAAAAGTCAGAAAATTCAGAAAATTCAGAAACCCAGAAAATTCAGAAAATTCAGAAAATTCAGAATTTACAATTTAAATTAAAAGGAAAACAATTCAGAAAATTCAGAAAATTCAGAAACCCAGAAAATTCAGAAAATTCAGAAAATTCAGAAAATTCAAAAAATTCAGGAAATTCAGAAAATTCAGAAAATTCAGAAAATTCAGAAATTTCAGACATTTCCGAAAATTCAGAAAATTCAGAAAATTCAGAAAATTCAGAAATTTCAGAAAATTCAGAAAATTCAGAAAATTCAAAAATTTCAGAAAATTCAGAAAACTCAGAAAATTCACAAAATTCAGAAAATTCAGAAAATTCAGAAAATCCAGAAATTTCAGAAAATTCAGAAATTTCAGAAAATTCAGGAAATATTTATAGAGAAAAAAAAGGATAAGTAAGTATTTATAATAATGTCAAGTTAGGATTAATAATTCCCTGCGATTAATCAACCACCAAAATCTCAGCAAAAAAACCGTATGAACAAAGTATGCGAAATCAAAAGAAAGTAAATTGTAGAACAATATGAACAATAAAACATAAATAGCAATTATAGAAAATACATTTTCAAAACAAAAAGCAAGCCAGCTAGCTTTAAATCTTTTACCAACAAAAAAATATAATAGAATATTTTCCAAATTAGGTATCCATCTTCATCCCTGAATTATGTAGTTTGGAAGTAGTAACCGAAGCCTCATGTTGTGAAAGATCTCATTCTGGGCAGTCGTATACAATTGAAGAAGACACATCAAAAGAGCAATTGTTCTTTCCAAGAAGCATCCTTTATATGTTTTTTTTCCTTTTGCCTCTGAATGATTTCTCCACAGATGTACTTCAAGATTCTTTGTGTCACTCGCAGCCGCGCATATTCCTGTAGAAGAACCATTTCCTGTAGAAGATAACTCCTGAAAAGCATTGTTCCTGAAAATGAAATCAATCTGAATAGAAAGATTCCTGTTAAGGATAGTTCCTGAAAAGGATTCATTCTGAATAAAAAAAATCCTGAAAGGATAAGTCCTGAAAAGGATAATTCCTGAAAAGGATAAATCCTGAAAAGGGTGATTTCTAAAAGGATGATGCCTGAAAAGAATGAAAAAAAACAATGAAAAAAGGCAAGAAAAAATATTCCAAAGGAAACAAAAAGGTCGACAACTATTTTCAAAAAATATATAACAGAAAAATGCATCGTCTATAATCAATTCTGATCATCAAAAAAACATTGAAAAATAAGTGAAAATAAGTAAAAATAAAGAAAAAACACTTCTATGATAAGTTCATATAACTACTAATATCTTCATTAAGTGCCTAAAGTGAAAATATCTTCATTTTGTGGTCTTAGTAGGAACTGGGGGCCGTGGCCCGCAGGCCCGGTCCGTCCTTCAGGGCCCTGCTGTTTCGGTGTGGCGAAGGCGCCGCTTGTGAGCCGTCGCGGCTGGAAGACAGACAGCTCAGAGAGCTAGTTTTCTTGTCGGTTCAGAAAGCAACGTTAGGAACTGGGGGCCGTGGCCCGCAGGCCCGGTCCGTCCTTCAGGGCCCTGCTGGTTCGGTGTGGCGAAGGCGCCGCTTGTGAGCCTTCGCGGCTGGAAGACAGGCAGCTCAGAGAGCTAGTTTTCTTGTCGGTTCAGAAAGCAACGTTAGGAACTGGGGGCCGTGGCCCGCAGGCCCGGTCCGTCCTTCAGGGCCCTGCTGTTTCGGTGTGGCGAAGGCGCCGTTTGTGAGCCGTCGCGGCTGGAAGACAGACAGCTCAGAGAGCTAGTTTTCTTGTCGGTTCAGAAAGCAACGTTAGGCACTGGGGGCCGTGGCCCGCAGGCCCGGTCCGTCCTTCAGGGCCCTGCTGGTTTGGTGTGGCGAAGGCGCCGTTTGTGAGCCTTCGCGGCTGGAAGACAACTAAGACAGCTACCCTGAGGATCCGATATTGAAAAAAATCAATCCTGATCAATCCTGATCAATAATATTGAAAATGATTTTTTTCAATACCAGGAAAATATGTTTTTCAATATCGAGGATTGAAAGAAAAGATCAATATTTCCAATCAATATCGATCAATAGCATGATCAATATCATATAGTAGTATCATCAGCAAGTCAAGACCATCATCAGTCTTCAGCTACAATTGTCAGATCCATTTTTCAAGCATGTAGGGGGCCATTAGAGGCATTCACAACGCGCAAGCTTCTATTTCATACTCATATGTGCCAGAGCTGTTTTTGCTTATAGCAGGTTTAAACTCATTGCCTGGTCTGGGCCTGAAAGAAGGCCATTCTTCAAAGTTTTGGGGTTTCAGCTGGTGTGTTGTGGGCTTGAAAGATCAATCATCTTCAAGGGATTTGAATCTGAGGATTTTCAGCTTGCTAGGGCTTGAAAGAAAGCCATGACATCCAAGGGTGGAGCACGCAGGTCATTGGTGCCACCAGTGGACTTGGATGCTTTGCGAAAAAATTTTGAGACAGCTGTGGCCACCCAAGGTGCTGATGCTTTTAAACTTGGTGACTATCAGGAGAAAAGTGTAAGCACAGCTGTGAGCTCTGCAGGTTTGCACCACAATGCAAAGTATGTCAAGGAGTTCTACAAAATCTCAGAAGGAGAAATTCCCTCTGGGCAGTTGAAGCAGTGCATCCTCAAATATGGGTACGCTCACAACGACAGTGAGTAGAAGGATGACCTGTGGGCAGGCAAGCTTGCAAGTCAATTTGTCTGCTTGCTCAGCCATGTGAGAAGACTGAAAAGAGACTCTTCGAAACTAAGGCAGTGCCTGCAGGGAGCTACAGGGGCTGAAAGGCAATCCATTCTTGAAATTGTGGATTTGCCAGATGCTTGCAAGAAAGCAGCCCCAGGTCCTGAGGATGACCAGGCCTGCAAGAAGGCCAAAGCTGCCAAGGAGACTTCTTCTGCGAAAGCTGCAGAGGCTGGTGGCCAAGGAAGTTCCAGCTCTGCTTCTTTGAAAGAACCCGAGGAGCAGGCCTGCAAGAAGGCCAGAACTTTGAAACTACAAGTTTCAGATGTTTCTGTGGACTCCCATGGCTGGCCAGCCATTCTCAATTCTCCAAAGGCTGCAAAAGAAGAAGAAGAAGAAGTGAAAGATTGCTTTTCCAGAAACATGACAATTCTGGAAAAAATGAGGGTAAGCTGCAAGGAGCAGCTGGATAAAGCTGCACAAGAGGCAGCCCAAGAGTTGGTTGAGAGCAGACCAGGGCTTGAAAGAAGGTCAGAAATCCAAAAAAAAGCCAGCCAGCAAAGAATGCAAAAAAAAGCCAGCTTCGAAGAAAGCTTCCTTGCCCAAGGCAAAAAGCTTAAGGCCTGAAAGAAGGCCCACAGAGAAGCAAGGACCAAAAAAAGAAGCAGCACCACAGCCAGAACCATTGGTGGCAGCAGAAGGGCCAAGGCCTGAAAGAAGGCCATGGTCAGCAGTGAAAAAAGTCATGGGCAAGGACCAAGCCTATCTCATGGGCCTTTTTGGAAGAGATTGGAAGCTCATCATTGGCTGCACCAAAAGAATGGGAAAGATTTTCCGAGGTGGGCATCACGCTGTGATTTTGGAGCTGGAAAAGGTGGCCATGGAGGAGGACATAACAAAGGAAAACATGAAAGAAAAAAGAGACGATTTAGTCAAAAATGTAGATTGAATGCCTGAAAGAAGGCATACACCTTTCTAACAGGGCAAGGCCTGAAAGAAGGCCACTAGGAGGGTTCAGGCCGCAGCCATGTGCAAAGCACATGGCCAGGACTTTTTTCTTGGCCAAAAAAAATTGTGGTTTGGGGTTTGGGTAAAGTGTTTGTTTTTGTGGGGCAGGGGATAGCCAACGAAATTTAAAGAAAAACCTCACCGTTTTCACTGTCATTCTTTTTGTACTTAGGTTATGACCTGAGTGTTCCAGGGGTGTTATGTTCACCTCCTTCTTTAAGGAAGGACCCTGAAGTCCAAGCCAGGAAAGAGAAGGGCCTGAAAGAAGGCTTTAAGGAAGACAAGGTTCAGCCTTTGCATGAAGGGAGCAGGAAATGGAGGATGATCAAGGAGAGGGAGAAGGAGGTGAAGGAGGAGGAGGAGCAACTAATGCTTGAAGGGCCAGGGGCCAGGCCTGAAAGAAGGCCAAAAAGGAAGGACAGCAGCAGCAGCAGGCCTGAAAGAAGGCCAAAAAGGAAGGACAGCAGCAGCAGCAGGCCTGAAAGAAGGCCTAAACAAAAAGCCGGCAGATCCTCCTCCTCTTCTTATTCATATGAATACAGTGAAGAGGAGGAGGTATTTGTGGAGGAGGAGCAGCCAGACTGGCAGGAGGAGGAGGAGAAAGAGGAAAAGGAGGAGGAGGAGCAGCCAAAGAAAAAGGACCCCAAGGACAAGGAAAAGAAAGCTGCAAAGGAGGAGGAGGAGCGAAAGGAGAAAAAGGTTTCCAAGGAAAAGGAAGCTGCAAAGAAGGAGAAGAAGCCCCAAAAGGAAGAGAAGCCCAAGGAGAAGGAGAAGGAAGATGACAAGGATATGGAGGAGGGGAAAACAGCCAAGAAGCGAAAGGAAAGGAAGAAAGTGGTCAAGGAGGAGGAGGAGGGGCAGGAGGAGGGAAAAGAAAAAAGAGAGAAAGAGGTGGATGCTTCTGACCTGTGAGGCTTGAAAGAAAGCCACAGGGAAGAAATTGGCATGCACAAAAACTTGGCTTGAGAGAAAGCCACAAGGAAGAAAAGTAACCAAAAACAGGTTTGAAAGAAAGCCAAACCACCTCAGGCTGTCTCACCAGGGGACAGGCCTGAAAGAAGGCCCCCCTGCTTCAGCGACCAATAAATAAAAAAGAAAAAGATAATAAATAATATAATAAGAAATTTAAAAGTAAATAAAATATTGAAAAATAAAATAAAATGAAATAATAAGAAATAATAGTTAAGGTAACTGAAAGAGAGCCAATACTATTTGAAAAAAGAAGAAACATTTAATTAAAAAAAGCATGTCATAAAAATGTTATAATTTAAAAAATAACTTCAACTGCGCCTAAACTACGCGAAACCATCCTGTGAAGTTCCCAACTGCGCGAAACCTGCGCGAAACCATCCTGTGGAGTTCCCAACTGCGCGAAACCTGCGCGAAACCATCCTGTGGAGTTCCCAACTGCGCGAAACCTGCGCGAAACCATCCTGTGGAGTTCCCTGGGGTCTGGCAAACTCACACGCATGTTTTTTTTTTTAATGTTAACTTTCAAACTTCATGTAAACCAAAACCTTTTTTTTCTGTAGCAATTTCAGAACTCAAATCCCCAGCCGTACTTGGAGGCTATGGCCAAGAAAAGGCCTGCATCCCTTGAGGGCTTGAAAGAAAGCCAGAAAAAAAACACAGAAACTGAATGAAAAAAATGAGGAAAGCCAACCACTGAAAGCAACACAAGAGACAAGTGCTGAGGAGAAGCAGCAAGAAGGCCTGCAAGAAGGCCAAGTAGGAGCTTCTGAGCCCGAAGCAACTCAGGAAGAAGCAACCCAGGGGGCAACTGCTGAGGAGCAGCAAGAGGGCCTGCAAGAAGGCCACCAACCAGATGCTTCTGAAGAAGGGAAACCAGCTGCTGAGGCTGAGATAGAGGAAGCAGCAAAGATGCTTCCAGAAAGTGTAGCAAAGGCAGCCCAGGCAAGCCTGAAAGAAGGCTCTGAGGCTGGTGCCACTTTGACTTCTTCCAGGCTCAAACTTCACGAAAAAACACAGGCAGCCATCCAAGGCCTGAAAGAAGGCCACCTGTCAGAGGCTGCATTCTGGCAGGAAATCTCCAACAAAGACAGAGCTGCCTTGTGGAAAAAATATGAAGGAGCCAGGAACAAAGACCCTGAAGCCGAAGCAGCTTGGCTCCAGATGGGTGGCCCAGGTGTCCTGGATCAGAAGAAGCAACTGCTTCTGCACTTCCTGAAGACTGGTCAGGCCCAGGAAGGGGGCTTGAAAAAAAGCCAAGAAGTCGCCAACTCCAAGAAGGAGAAAGAATGGTTTGAGTGGGTCCCCTGGAAGCAGATCCTTGACTGGTATGGGGAAGAGGAGGCCCTGGCCAGGGTAGAGAGTGGTTTAATAGCAGTGAAAAAGGTGGGAAAGAAATTCTATGAATTTCTCCTGGTGAAGATCAGGACCGAGCTCACACTGGAGCAAAAAAAAAGGATTGCTGCTGAGCAAGAAATAGCACTGCAAGGTGAGGAACTGAAGGCCTGCAAGAAGGCCTTAGCAGCAGCAAGAACAAAACAGGAATGGGATGACCTTTGGCTTGAAAAAAAGCCACAGAAAGGCTTCCAGGTTGAAGATGCTTTGTCAGAACCTTCTGAAACTTCTTCTGAACATGAGGACGAAAGTTCAGCAGAGCAACATAATCCTGCAGCAAGTTTCCTGCAAGGCCTGAAAAAAGGCCAGGCTATGGTCTCTCAGAAAAAAGAAAAAAGAAATGATGACAAGCAGAAGCACCTCGCAAAGGAAGAGAAAGTCAAGGAGGAGGACAGCAGAGCTTGCAAGAAAGCTCAGGCAGAGAAGACTAAGATTGCCAAAAAAAAGGAAGCAGACAAAAAATGGCACACAAAGTTAGAGGAAGCCACACAAGTGGGTGAAAACGAAAAGGACAGTAAGGTCAAGAAGATGCTGGCCTTGGTCAGCAAAGGAGTGGCTGATTTGAAGAAGGCTTGCAAGAAAGCCAAAGATGCCAGCTGGGGTGCAGATGTCCTGCAAGCTCTCATCAAATCTAGAGACAGCTTGGAAGATTTGGCAACAGATGGTGAGCTGGAAGGCATCAAGAACCACTTGCTGGAAGCAGCATCAGCTCTGAAGGCTTTCAAGAAATTGCTCACTGCCTAGGATTGGCCTGAAAGAAGGCCTGGGACATGGCCACTTTTGCAGTGTGGGTGCCCCGCGGGGCCGCTAAGTGATTTCTGCCGCTTGCCCCGCTTGCCCCGCTTGCTCCGCTTCTAGGGAAAATAAGTGAATCTTCCTCCTTGCCCCGCTTGCCCCGCTTGCCCCGCTTGCCCTACTTGCAAACCGAGGGAAGATCGGTGGTTCTTCCCGCTTGCCCCGCTTGCCCCGCTTGCCCCGCTTGCCCCGCTTGCTTTGGTTTCACCACACAGCAGTATGAAAAAGGAATAGAGGTGGTAACGTGAATGGAATGTTTGGGCGAGTGGGGCGTGTGGGGCGAGTGGGGCGAGTGGGGCGAGTGGGGCGAGTGGGGCGAGTGGGGCGTGTGAGGCGAGGGAGGCGAGTGGGGCGAGTGGGGTCGAATGGGGCGAGTGGGGCGGCCGACGGGGAGTAAGTGGCGAAGGGTGTCAAGCGCAGTTGAGCGGGGTGGGGAAGACACTTATGTGAAGAAGGTGGAATGTTCGAACTAACCACAATGTATGCACATTTTCTCCCAAAAATCCATCCATGCCTTGTTGGGGCGTGGGCGAGTTTACATGCCTGGAATATTAATGCAACACTTTTCGCAAGTTTAGGTGTAGAAGCGAGCCGCCTGACGGGTCGACGTGAAAATGGAGGGGCCGGGGGAGCATCTTGGGTCATTCTTAGTATGATCTACACCCATAAAATGATCCGTATCCATATATGATCCCCATCACCATACGATCCACAATCATCACAATCATTCATGTTATCCTTTTTGTGATCATATCACCATCCATACCCATATGGAAGGTTCCATGACTTATCATGGGACTACTCACAAGAAGCACTTCCGTTTCTCGATCTGCCCACTGCAGTTGGTGGGATTGGGTAAATGGGACCTGAGCAGAGCAACACGATGTACAGATTCAAAAGCCTGCTCCGTAAGTAAAATCAAAAAGTAGAGAAGCCGTTCGAGCCATCCTTTTCCGAAGAATAGGTATGCATTTGGTCAGTCTGCTAAGTGTTGGCAGAACATGCTAACAACAGAATGATCAAGAGGCAACAGCAACGAGGTTCTTCGATTTTGCCCAAGATGTTGAAGCATTCTACAACCTTTTCACTCAAACAGCAAGACTTTGGAAGATTGAAAAAACCTCGCTCAAAGTGAAAACGCACCGGCTCGCTTCACGAGAATCGGCTGGCGTCAGATTTGGAGAAACCTGGCACAGCAGTCCGGTAAGGCCAAAGAGGTTCAGTGCCAAAGCTGAAATCCAGTGGTTGAATGGGGTTTGAAAGCATCTTCTTCCCCATCAAAGTTGCCAAAAAATGGAAAAACAATCAGTCTTCCCCTGAACCCTGCCTAGCTCCTTGCGGAGAACCACCTGAACAGCACAGGACCATTTTTTATATGATCCAAGGAGGGCAAACAACCAGTTGGTACATGATATAATATCAATGATGTACATATATATATATTATAGTGTCTATATATATATAATATCTGTAAGTATGGCGTAAATATGGCACAAACATGGGGTACCATTTAGACCCGCAAAATTCGTGATATTCGTTGCTGGGATCTCAATTGTGAAGCCTCCTATCTAGGAACGAGGCCAGCTAGACTAATCCTGCAGGTCATATGTTCTTTGGGAGCTGGACACTTTTCATTGCTAAGACTTGTGATTTCGTCACCCTGCTGGATTAGCCACTCATCAGAGTTTTCAGGAAGTTCTTGAAGTTTCGACTCTCGGTTGTCTGCATATGTCTGGATGGGATGTTGATGTTGCATCTAATTTTCCTGGTAACAATTCATCTCTGGCAGACTCTGGCATGCTGGTGCTTGCCAACCATCATTGAACGACAGTTGCTGCCTCTCAGATGGATAAATTGAGCCATGAAATTACGCACATCACATCTCACCGTACAGCTTGGTCAATAGGTATCCCGTAAATTATGGGCTGTCACAATCCGTATGATCAATCATAAATTCCAACCATCAATTTCGTCAATGATAAATAAACAATATAAACATCTACCCCACTACATATATCATAACACATCAACAATAATAATGGAAGTATAAGCCTTAAAATAGGCAACACTTCGGATGGCTTGGGACCCCCAGATCTCCATCCGGCCTCACAACTTGCCTCACAACTTGGCCGCGGGCTCCAAGCACTGGTAGGTTCGCCTGAAGTGACGCAGTTTTGGCACAGATTTGGTGGGAAATCCGGAACATCTTGGGAACTGTTGGAAGAGGTGGAACATGATTTGCGAAATCCATGGAGCAAACCATGCAAACTGTGGATGTTTGTGATCATACAGATAGATATAGAGATATAGATAGATAGGTAGATAGATAGACAGATAGAGATAGATAGATAGATAGATAGATAGATAGTTAGATAGATAGATAGATAGATAGATAGATAGAAACATAGATAGGTAGATAGATAGTTAGATAGAGAGATAACTTACATTAAAGAACTCCTGCCGGGGTCTCACCATTCCCAACTCCCTGTAAAGAGTCTTAGACAGATAGATAGATAGATAGGTAGATAGACAGACTACAAGATAGAAAGAAAGGTAGATAGATAGATAACTTACTTCAAAGAACTCCTGTCGGGGTCTCACCAATCCCAACTCCCTGTAAAGAGTCTTAGAAAGAAAGAAAGAAGGATAGATAGATAGATAGATAGGTAGATAGCTAGAATCCGAATCGCACAAGGAACATCTCACGCGGTTCCAACAATCCGTAAAGGTTTAAAGCTGGTCCCTCTCCTTACCAGAATTTCAAATTGCAAAACTTGAGCCAGCGAGTCGATACCAACTAAATACATTGCTGGCATACTACATGGCGCGCCCAGTGCAATGGAAATACCGTGCTAATGCGTATTGGAGATGAGGGATGCACTGTGGACGCTTGGGGAGACCAACCATGGGGTTCCCGACTGTCATCGTGAAATCCTGAAAGCGACAGCCAAATCACACAGAAAATCACTGTGATTCCACGGAAATTTCTCTGGGGTTCTCCATTGACAAACCGGGATAGAGCACAGTGCAACGTTCCAAACCATTCCAAGAGCATGCAACTTCAAAGTTTCAAGGAAGGAATAATTTTTTCACTGCATTTCATCTCAAAGCCGCCAAGATCTCCCGGCAGGCGTCCCGCAGCTCCACGGGAACACTCAACTCAATTTCGGTGTCAACATCCTCGGCATCGAAGGACGGCAGTCTCCTTGTTTCCCTTTCCGCAAGGAGCTCGAGCCACTCCCTCCATTCATTCTCCACTTGTTCCTTCTTCCCGGCTTCTTCAGGAATAGCGCTGCAAACGAGCTCTCTGCGCACTTTGTGGCCGAAGAGTTCAGCAGCGGCCAGCATGATGCACCGGGCCACACTGTGCGATCTGCACCTGGACAAGACCACCTGCTGATGCTCATGGGCTCGCTCTAAGCCCATGCAACAGTAGGTATGGAGAAGCTCAGTGGTGGCCGAAGACGCTACGGCTCGAATGGTGTAGGCCGGGCGTTCTGATCGGCACTGTGGGATGTAAAATTCCTGCACTCCGATCGTGACAGGATCCCATTTGTGTACCGTTGTTTGCTGCTCCAGTCTCACACCTTGCTCCACAAGGTCGGTGGCCTGACATGGCAAATCAATTCGATTACAAAGCGGTTTGGTCATGGTATCCCTTAGCTAGGCCGACAAGGTCTGTGGCCTGATAGGCCAATTCCCCAGCTACTTCCAAAGGCGATTTTGCCATCATATCATATCGATTAGCCATGCCGAAAGTCTAGTCAAATGCAGCAGCAAGCAACCCAGGCATCCGCTCAGCTACCAATGTCTACCCAAGCAGAAACACTACAGACAACAGCTTGCTTGGCACAAAGTGCAGAACCATGTGCAGCTGGCCAATTGCTCGCACACCGTTTCAATTGAGCTATGCCTGCGCGCAACGCGGTCTAGCGCACACTGGGTTGAAAGCCCTGCTTTGCTGCAACCTTGAGCCAACACCCTAACGCTCCTGCAAATTCTGCACTTTAGCTTTGGGGCCGCAAATACTGCTTGACTGACAACGCAGACAAATCACTGAAACACTTGTAGCGGGTAAGCAAACAATCCCTAGTGACCACTATCTTGATATATCTTGATGCGTGCTCTTGCATCCACCAATCAAACCGTGAGCCTCTGCTTGACCATCCACTCAACAGTCAATTTCACCTACCAACTGTAAACAGATGGGCCAAAGCAAAAGCTTCCATTTGAAGTAAGCATCCATTTCTTTTGAGCGAAACATAAGCAAACGACCGATTTCAATTTCAATTTCTACGTCCTGCCCAATGCTTCAGCCCCAATGCGGAAGCTGCATCGAATGAATCCTCGCTTGATGTTGCTGGAATGAGAAACATAGGCCTATCGTAGTTACAGGTAAACAGGTAGGTGTGGATTGCACCCGGTCTCAATCAGAACATGCCAGTCATATATGCGGGAAAAGAATTTGACGATGACATCTTTCTAATGTGGTGTGCAATACATGGAAAGGAACAAACCGCTGCATGGTCCACTGTTTCTTATACACTCAAATATGGTATCTTGGTCGTGTGAAATTCTCGGTCATGCCCCATGTTTCAGCCCCCATACAGAAGCTCCATCACATGAATCCTTGCTTGATAGTGTTTGAACGAGAAACATATTTACACCCAAACATCTCGAATTTGGGGAAAAGAATTCGACGCTGACATCTTTATTAAGTGTAGGGCAATACCTAGAAAGCCACTACAAACCCGTCGATGGTCCACTGCTACCCAAATTGCTTCCTGCCCATGAACAATAAAAAACCTTGCATCTATCACTAGCGTGGGGGGGGAAGGCCGGCTTAGATGAGGCAGCCACACAGCCAGCACCTAGAGCCAGAACATGCGAATGCATCTCTGACACACTGGGTGGCCATGCCCTGCACAAGTAACCTCGCGAACAATAAA